CGGGCTTCGCGTGGTGCTGAAGGGGACAGCGCCAGATTGGTTGTACTGCGCAGGCGCAGAGGTGCGAACAAAGCGGGGAGGGGGAGGAGGCGCGCGGCCGGAGGGGGTGCGCGCCCACGTCTGTCAGTCTTTGCAGAGGTCGGTCTTCTTCGCTGCCCCTTCCCGGAGCAGCCCGAGGAAGAAGGGAAAGCAAGCCCTTCGTCCAACTGGACCTTCCTGGGCTTTCCCCTTATTGCTGCATTGAAGGGTGAGGGAGCGTGAAGGGGATTCTGGGAAAACCAGGATGCTTGGGTTCTCCGTTCCGGTCTCGTTTGATCCTGGCCAAGGCGCTTCCTCTCCAGGGCTTCGGTTTGCCCATCTTTAAAATGGAGTGAAAGCACCGACCTGCCCACCTTGTAGAGGTGCCGAGTGTGAGGAGATCACAGCTGGGAATGGAATGAGCAGGCGGGTGAAGCAGCTGCGCGGAAGGAGCGCGCGACCCTGACCGATGGCAGTGGCCCGGCGTCCTTCGCGTCCCCAGCCCGTGGACAGAGGAAAGAGCAACTCCAGGGGTTTCCCGGAGCGCAGCCTGGGCCTAGGACCCGGCGACGCAGTGAGAGGGAACTCTGGTGGTCCCGCGGCGGGTCCAGCCCCCCTCCGGTAACCCAGAGCCGCCGGAGAGGCAAGACCCCTGGTGGGCCGAGCCAGCCTCCAAATTCTCAGTTCCAGGAGAGGAACGAGCAGCCGAATGCACAGTCCTTAACGCCAGCTTCGTCTCTCCCCAGGCAAAACCCGGCCCACATTGTCTCGAAGTGGATAGTTTTATGTTTCACAACTATCTAGCGATGGGAGGTTTGATAAAGTTTGCGAAATGAAAAGAAAAATTCGAGCTTCACCCCATTTTATTTGTTCTTTCAGAAATCATTATTTTGGCGGTGCTGGGGATCGAACTCAGGACCTCGCTCACGCCTGGCAAGTGCAAGTGCCCGAACACTGAGCTACCCCTCCAGCCCAGGCAGTTCCTTACTAAACGCCTACTGCAGGCCCGAGAGTAAGAGCCTGGACAGCTTTTCCCCATTTTTCCATGTCGATAAAGACGCGGGGCGGGTTCGGTAACCCAGGATCCTGGCTCCGCCCCTCTGCCTCCGGCCTGGCCCGCTCCGCCCACTTCACTAGGCGGCTGGCCGCAGACCCTGCCACAGACAGGAACGCAGTCTTGCTCCACCGCTCCGCAGCCTCGGTCTTCAGCCCTGCAGCCCAGGAGACCAGATCTGATGTTGCAACACCGGTGCGTTCTGCCGCAGCTTCGGGTCCACCCGGAGAGCTCTCAGCCAGGTTTCGCAGCGAGAGTACGCTCGATTGAATCGGTCTGACTCGACAGCTCCAGGAGGCGGTCCGCTGCAGCTGTTCCCAGGCCAAAGTGAGATCTTACTGCGCACGCGCGTTAGGCAGCGATGGAGTCACCAATGGAGCCGTCCGGAGTGGAGCAAGAACCTGGAGCCGTCAGGTACCGAGTGCTGGAGCGGCCGAGGGAGGAGACCCGGGGGAGGGCGCGGGCCTTCCGGGTCGCAGCTCAGGGGAGCTGCGGAGGCGGGCTGGCGGGTAGCAGC